GATATGCTTAGGAGACCAACAGTTAGAAATTAACAATTAGGTTTACAACTTTCTGCCTCTGTTCAGTCCCATGTATAGCAGGTTGGCAAGCTATATTACATGCAACATCTTATGATAACAAGTAAAAATCTCTTCCACCTCTAGAATCCCATGCTTCCAATGGGGTTATCTTAGAAAAATGATACTTTTTATTATACAGGAAATAATTATTAAATGACTTCTCATCACTTCTGATGTCAGAATGCTCAGAGGCTAGTGAACCATCAAAGAAACAGTCAAGGTAGACATTGGTTCTTTCTCCCACTCTGGACATTCCACAGGTGTGTGTGTAAGTATGTGTGTGTGATACACACACACACACACACACAGATACATACACACACACATAAACACACACACACACACACACACACACCACTTGCTTTACCACCATCAGATCAGAGCCCCCAGTGGCACAATGGGTTAAACCTTGTCCCGGCAGGACTGAAGACCGACAGGTCGGAGGTTCAAATCCAGGGAGAGCATGGATGAGCTCCCTCTGTTAGCTCCAGCTTTCCATGCGGGGACATGAGAGAAGACCCCCAACAAGGAAGGTAAAAACAAAAAATAACCAGGCATCCCCTGGGCAATGTCCTTGAAGGTGGCCAATTCTCTCACACCAGAAGCAACTTGCAGTTTCTCAAGCCCCTTCTGATACAGAAAAAAAACCCATCAGATCCTCTGAAGATGCCAAACACAGATGCAGGCAAAACACCAGGAGAAAATCCTGCTAAAACACGGCCATACAGCCTGGAAGCCACACAACACTCCAGTCAAGGTAGACTTACTACTTCTTAGAACATGGTGACAATGGTTTCACTGACTGTTGGGCTGGCATAAGACATTTCTTGCCTGAGGTGAGGTGACAAATAGTATTACCTATCCTCCTAAATCAGTGATTCTCAACCTGGGGTGCCCAGATGGTTTTTGGCCTACAACTCCCAGAAATCCCAGGCAGTTTACCAGTTGTTAGGATTTCTGGGAGTTGTAGGCCAAAAACCTCTGGGCACCCCAGGTTGAGAACCACTGTCCTAAATCAATGTGCATAGTACACTGACAGAGATAGTCAAATTACTTTGGAACATCATGTAGAAATTTTCCCAGACATCTCTCCTTATTCCTGGCAGTAAATGATGACCACATAAACAAATAGCTACCCTTTCACAACACACAAAATCTACTGCCTAACTGTTCTGATTACGTGAATGGAGGGTGTCCAAAACAAATACTATCTTTCTAAAAAGACCTAAACATCCGACACAAGATGGTGTGACCCTCCAGATGGAGGGGGTTGCAATGCTAGGCATCCCTAATCCGTATAATCAATATTCAGGAATGCTGGGAGTTACAGAACAATAATCTCCGGAAGTTGGCCCAATTTCCATTCCTGCCTTACACTGTTCAAAGTAATGCAAGGATTCTATGGTCAACAGTTTTGAGGGGAACATCTGACAGCATGATTAGTGAGTGAAAGGCAACAATAGACACTGTGGAAGAGTCACCACTCTCCGTTGTTGGAGGACAGAGCTATATGTGCCATACTACTCATCCTGTACCTTGCTTTTACACTACAGCAGAGGACATGGTCCTATCATATGGACTATTATAAAAGTCACCCACAAATCCAGATTTTGCAGTACCCCATTTCAGGCAGCAAAACGTTTTGTGTTTTAAGATTAATTGCTAGGTTTAGTTCTTACAGATGATGTGTCATAGTTGCAATTTCTCTGACAAATGAATATTCTCCTGCTCTTTAGAATCTGTCAGCTTGGAAACTTGGGACACATACAGTTTTCTCTTCCATTTCTTTCAATAACTAAACTGGTGGTGTAGCTTTTCTGGCAAGTGTTAATTCCCTTTCCCTGAAGGATAAGTACTGTTTTGGTAATTTTTTAAATAAATTCTTTTTACCATTTCTGCAGACATCTGAGTTATAAATCTCTTCAAAGGAGGACACATGCAGTGATCATAAAAAGAAAATATAATCTGTTGAGACACTTCTGAGTTATTGTTATGTAACTTAACAAGGATAATGTCTTTGTTTCCAAACTCTGCTTGGCTTTGAGGTTATCTGCACAACACTTGGCTCAAGGGAATATGGAGAAGCATCCCAGCCAAGTACCTGGTGAACGATGATCTCTCCCATCTTACATTTTTTCCCCACACTGTGATATGCAGGTACACATACCTAAATATAAGGCTAGAAAGAGGCACTCACACATACAGGCCATTATTTGCAAAACTATACAAGCATATTTTTAAAAAGGGCAAATGTAGTTTCTAATATTAAAAGTAGTTCATCCAATATTCTTAACCAGGGGTCCTCAAACTTTTTATACAGAGGGCCAGGTCACAGTCCCTCAACTGTTTGAGGGCCGGATTATAATTTGAAAAAAACATGAATGAATTCCTATGCACACTGCATCTATCTTATTTATAGTGCAAAAAAAAAAAAACCACACTTAAAAACAATACAATAATTAAAATGAAGAGCAATTTCAACAAATATAAAATATAGTATTTCAATGAGAAGTGTGGGCCTGCTTTGGGCTGATGAGATAGGATTGTTGTTGTTGTTGTTGTTGTTGTTGTTGTTGTTGCTGTTGTGTGCATTCAAGTCATTTCAAACATAGGTTGACCCTGAGCGAGGGCCGGGTAAATGACCTTGGAGTGCCGCATCCAGCCCCCAGGGCTTAGTTTGAGGACCCCTGTTCTTAACAATTAAGCAAATTTCCATTGTTGCCCTCAAAGATCTACCTACTTGACGAAGCATATATTATGAAACTGGCATTTTACAAGAAAGGTTTAATTTAAAAGAATATGGGTGTCGGATACTTCTTAAATCTGAATAACTGTCCAAGAGCCCTCCCACAGAATGCCTCAAAGTTATATTCTAGCCTGATCCTGGGTCATATACATATTTTTAATTGTGTCCCAAAAACTGCCCTTAACTTATGCATGAGGTAAAGATACACACACTCACATATGTAAAATTATGTCTGTTTGTACTACCAAGGGTGCTACTAGGTGACCATCCAGAGGCCCTTTGTGAGGTCACCTGTTGCTAGGTGAAGTGGGTCCTCTGTGATGTCACTGGGAAAGGAAGATGACATGTGTATGAGAGGAAGATAAGGAGGAAGAAGAAACAAAAAAGGGGGAAGAAAGGGAAAGGAAAGGGAATAGGGAGAGAAAGAAGGGATGAAAGCAGGGAGGAAGCAGCCCTTTTGACACTTGGCAACACCAGGTAGATACTCTAGTGAATATATAAGGTATATAAGGCTATGTCTCTGTGTGATAGGTGATGTTATTTTATGTGATGTGTTTAATAATGTTTAATGTTTTATTAGGGGAGGGTCAATTATATGTTTTGTCGATGGCATTGAATTGCTGCCAACACTGTGAACTGCCCTGAATCCCCTTCGGGGTTGAGAAGGGCGGTATACAAATATCGCAAATAAATAAATAATAATAAATAGCTTACTGAATCCCTTGTGTTGAAATGCTGATATACTTTCCCCAAATAAAGAAAGACAGCTATTACTTTATTAGCTCATCATCCATTATTTCTTTAAAACAAATCTTAAAACTTTAGTAAAACTCCCACATAGCAAAAGGTATTCTTACAGCTCAAACCGAACAAACATATGCATCCTATCAAAGGATAGACAAAAGCCAAATTCTACTGCCTATGAACCTCACAGAAGTAACCTCATTTTCAGTTCAGACTAATGTTTTTCATTTTTTTTCTGCCAAGCTATTATTTCTGGAAAGATCTAATAGTATTATATTAGACATTTTAATCTGACCACAAAGCATGCTATTTTTTAAATAAAAAAGATGAAGTGAGCAAGTCATACTGTCATGAACAGACTATTAACCTACTTTATTCACAGTTATTTCATAGGAGAAGGAAAACCTGCATCATACATTACAGCTCAAGCAAACTTTTGTATCACTTAAATCAACAGCAGGAAAGTTTCTAAGAAAAGGGCTATTCAGCATATGCCCAGGATTTTTGCATAACCTTTTAGGTATACATTTGCAAAACGTTAGCTGGGCTTATTCCAAGAAATGACAGCTTTTAGCAAACCACATGCTGGGGTTTCGGGCTTCTTAGGACCTGATGGCATAACTCTAACAGCATTAATATTGAACTACACTGTCCATAAAAAGTTCCCTTTTAATATTTTAACTAAAATGTTGTATAAGTCATCATCATTGAAAGGCTTGTCTTCTGCTACAAAGGCATAAACATCCCTGTCAGAAACCTTCTTAGAAAAATACAGGAAAAAAATGTGAAATTGTTATATGCCTTGGAGGGAGGCATATTACTCAGGATATGATCAAGTTTCTAGTCAAGCCAAACAAAATATTCATAAAACTAACGTCTTGGTTTGTGCCTCCACCAGCATTCAGCCACACTGTTGGGAACCTAGATAGCCCTTTGGTTTGACCTAGTAGAGCTTTTATTATGTTCTCATCTAGATCTGATTTATTGTATTGGTTCCTCAGTCCAATAATTTACCAAGGAAGCAGAAACATATGCATGCAAACACACATACACAGACAATAATTTAATCAGAGCGTACGTCTGCATGGATCAGAATCCATGCATCAGACGTAGACTACACTACACAAAAACTGATGTGATATAATAAAAAGGTGCATTTTTATCATTATTTAAAATCAATAATGAGTGCAGCACTAGTTCCAAAGCATGTTGATTTTTACGAATATGTATATCAATTACCAATCAAAAACAAGATATTAACAGGATATGATGCTGAGGAGGGTGCAGACACACAGAGGAAAACTGTGCAAAGAAGAGAATGAAGCTAGGTTCCATGTGATATCTAGGAAGACACCAGAAGTGACTTGCAGTTTCCCAAGTCGCTCCTGACACCAAAGGAAAAAAAAATCTAGGAAGACATCAGCATCGTGAGAACATATCGTGTACTTACTAATAAACTTGTTTTGCATAGTTTCCAGCAGAGCTTGATGAGCATCTTCATTTTGCAAAGCACAAGAACATTCCCTGGCCAGTAAGGTCCGCACAAGGTGCTCTCCACAACCTATGTTAAACAAACCACAAGTTATAGTTCACATAAATATGCACAGTTAACACTGAGCTATCTTAATTTGGGGGGGGGGGTTTCAACAGCTTTTCCCTCTTCAAATCCACCCACTCCCCTGTTCGTTGCATTGAAACTTACAAAGCAGTAAAATAATACAGAAGTACAACAGGCATTCAGGGTTGTTCCCCACAATATAGTATGGGTTATTTCAAATACAAATAATGGAGAATCCAGCAAATGTTTGCGTATTCAAGAGTTAAGAACCAAAACATGAGTGCCTGACAATCTTCCTTTTATTTACACAAAATCAAACTTTAAATTTTAAGACTTTTTGGAAAGCTGAATAATAAGTAAGACCAACAATGCACTTAAACAATCAAGGTGACACCCAGTGATGCCCATCTTCCAGTGAAGAGATTTATTCAGGAGAAAAGAGTACCCCACTCCTGAAACACCCTCTAAGCACCTCCAAAATCTGCTCTCAAAGATTGGGGAGTCTGCCAGAAAAAGGGGGACTGGAGTTCACTTCCCCATTGCTGTCCCGTAGCTTTATTTCCCTCCTCTCATACCATTTCCCCTTTCCTTTGTCTTCCTTCCTTCCTTTCTCTCCCCCCCCCCCCCCCCCCCACTTCTCATGTATCTTTTTCCTTCTCTTTCCTTCCTTCCTCCTCTTCAGGGCTGTAGTCAAGGGGAGGGGGGTTAGGGGTTCAACCCCCCCCCCCAAATTTCAGGTTAAAAAAAGCTGGTTTACTCATGAATTTTAACTGGTTAACCAGATCCCCCTGCTAAGTCTATGAGAAGCTAAAATTAAACAAGTCCCTCCAGAACTGCAAGCACTATCTCAAGTAAATTTTGACAATTTATTCACAGTCATTACTTGCAGCAATAGCTGATATAGTGGAAGCAACCAAGTTGGCCCACCCACAACTGGTAGGCTAAGCCTAAGGCATGGGGGGGATTTGAAGCCCCATGAAGGAGATGAGAAAATGGATTAAATTAAGTCTATATAAAATATATAATGAATCATACTATTAAATTATTATGTTATGGAACTACTTCTCATGAGTCGTTAAAAAAAATCAAACTCCTCCCCTCCCCCCAAAAAAAATTCTAGCTATGGTTCTGCTCCCCTTTCTTCCTTCTCCCTTCTCCAGCTCTGCATGGGCCTACCTCACAATGTCTCCATGTAAACATGGCTCTCTTTTTGGCTTTTTCCTTCCTTCCTCCCTTCCCCTTATACACGTCACCTTTCTTTCCCAGAGACATCACAGATGGGCCACTGTCACTTAGCAACAGCCTTTGTGGTACAAACAGAGACACAAATATGCATACTTTTAACTTATAGAGAGATAGGTTAAAAGATTCCCAATAACTCTCACAACAACATATTCTATACTTGATGCTGCAGTGCTATTTTAGTTAATACGTTGTCTTTGCAATACTTTTCTGATATGCCTGATCTGATACTGAATTTCCTGAGGGGAACACTAGTCCTTGCATCTCAAAGCAGAAGTGACCAGAAGTCCATTCAAGTATCCAAATAAACCAAAACCACTTCTGATTTCTTCTCTAGTCTTTCAGCCATCTCAAACAGCATTCCTAATTCTCAAAATTGGGTCTCCAAAAACATGAACACTCATCAATTTTTACACAGGTTTCTGCACAAAAGTGTTGAGGCATTATGCAAAAAACGGGTTTTTTGCACGAAACTCAAAGGGTTTTTTTCTAGAAAAAAATCCTTGCAAGGAAGTTTTGAAATGCAAAACAAAAACAAACCACTGAAAAGGTGCAAGAACTCTCACTCACTTTTAAAATTCTTCTTGCATGCTAGAATGACGTAAGTGAAGTGTTACCTGACAGCCTTTTAGGAGATGAAGGAAAAATGTTAATTACTGGGGATATTGGGCAATGCTGTAGTACTTTGATGGCGCCTTGCCTAGTTATACATATGTGGTTAACCCAGCACCTGTTAATTAAGGTTTTTACTTGGCCACATTCATCTTTTAAAGGGTTAGGTTACCCCAGAACTGTGCCTTAATAAAAAGCAGAGTCGTATCTTTGCTGGAACAGTCACTGAATTTGAGTCAGCTCAAACTAAATCATTAATAGGGGGAAGTTACATTTTGCCAATTTGCAGCCTATAGCACAAAGATGCCACTTCATTCCATCACAAGAAAGTCATCTTTTTCAACATGACAGTTGGCAGTTATCCACTGCTCTCAAATATAGCATGCTCTTATCTCAGACTTATCTCCGACTTAAGGTAAACCTGTTTCTCAAACTAGATGCTGCAGAGCCATGATCCCATGAATGTATTTGACTGTTAATATTATTTTCTTACACACTACAAACATATATATCGCTTTATCTGCCATGACTGTTTCCTGTAGTATTCTGGGATTTGTAGTTTGGTCAAAGGCTTCAAAGCAGCTCCTGGTGGAGGGTTTCTAAATGCCCCTCCCTAGATTCCCCAAGAAGGAGCCATGGCAGTTAAAAGTGAAATCATAGTGCTATACTTGTGTAGTGTGAAAGAGACCTTTATGGATCAAGTGGTAAAGGTGTGCCAGCTGAGATGCATCCAGTGCATTCATTTCCAAGTTTCTTGGCAGACTTTAAGGCACTGGAGAGCATAGCTAGGCAGAAAGGATACACCCTCTGATTTTACCAGCAGCTGGCTGCTGAATGGAGAAGTGTTTGTGATTATCCTTTTTTCCTCTTAATTTTGATAAAATCCAAATTTAAGGAGTGTTTTTAATAATCACTAGGTGGGCACAGTGTGATCACACAGAGAGAAAGTAGGGAAGAACAGGACAATTTATACACTCAAGTATAAGCCAACTTAAATATAAGCCGAGGCACAAAAAACTGGGAAAACTTATTGGCCCGAGTATAAGTCAAGGGTGGGAAATGCAGCAGCTATTGGTAGATTTCAAAATAAAAATGATACCAATAAAATTACATTAATTGAGGCATCAGTAGGTTAAATGTTTTTGAATATTTACATCAAACTGTAATTTGAGATAAGACTCTCCAACTCTGATTAAATCATTATTCTAACTTTCAATGTAAACATGCTTATGTATCCTTCCAATAATAAAAAGAGAGTAAAATAAAAATGTAATAATAAAGAGTAAAATAATGTTATAATAACAATAAATACAGAAAAATATTAAATGTAATAATAACAATGAGTAAAATAAAAATGCAATTGTAATCATAATTAGAGTAAAATAACAAATGTAATAATAATCATCATCATCCAGTAAAATGATAAATAACTTTGACTTGAGTATAAGCCCAGGAGGGGCCTTTTCAGCCCAAAAGAGAGCTGAAGAACTCGGCTTATACTCAAGTATCTATGGTACTTTGGTTTGAAAGAGAGGAGATGTTTTTGCAATGGTACCTAAATGAGATCTAGTCAAAATAGGTTTATCTAGACGCCTATATTGCCCTATATTTTTCTTACAATAGTCCTCTGAATTTGGAGAAGTTCCAAAAACTTCCTTCCAAGACAAGGAAGAATGTAATATCTATAATGGGTAACATATACTCAGTATCAACAGTACCTGTTCCTTCTCTTTATATCATTTAAATATCAATTGTTGTTGCGAGATATGAAGGTGAGATTCCAAAAGAATCATACATATTTAAAAAACTACGTTTCTTTAAAAATATTTTTTTCAGACATCCCCTTCTGGCAGCGTTTTCCATTCGACTTCTCAAATGGCCCATATCTAGTTGCTAATTTCAGCTACAGTAGTCAATGAATTACTGGGATTTATATAAGTGACTAAGAATGAAGCAATTGATTCAATGAGTCCACACTACTAAAGTCTAGCCATGGAACGTAGGTGAATAATTACATCAATTTATACCCTTCCTGTGCTTATAGACATTCAGGGCAGCTAACAAACAAAATAAGAATACAATTAAATTATAAATATCAAATAATTACAAATGTATACTAAAATGCAACTAAAGTAATACAAATACGCAAGAGTAAAATGCCACTGGGAAGGTGAATAACAGCTCGGGAAATATCATCCGGGAAGATACTTTTTTAATTTATTTTATTTATTGATGAAGAGATTTAGAAAGATAACAGAAATATTTACAAAGTTTCAACCTGATTTTAAAATAATACCCATTCTGAAAAAAAAGTTGTAGGTAGTAAAGTTCAATTTAGGTTAATCTATAAATAAACCATAAATCTCAAAATGGTGGGTAATAATGCAGTTAAATTATCAAGGCACTGCATGTCACACATATACAGTTTTACAAGGAAATTATTCTTCCTTTAATTGTCAATATACATACAATACTAAATAATGTAAAAAAATACCTTGGAATAATTAAAGAAAAACTTTTTACTGAACACACTACGTGTTCCGTTGCAACTATATAAAAAAGACTGATTAGTACTATATGCCTGGGCAGAGTGTGGTTTGTGGTGAAAACGTGTTTTAGGGCTCTAGTGTAACAATGTGGTAGTCACAGTTATATGTTACTATGTCTTTCAACATATATACAAAATGTAATTTAAAATGCAGAAGGGTGTAGAGACATTGACTGAGTCTTTTCTTTACCAGGTAGACATCAGTCCTTCAACCCAGTATACTTTATAGGTGCTTTTCCAGTCATTCTTGGTGCTAAAATTTGGCTAGGGGGAAATAGCTTGAGGAGAGAGTGGGAATGCATCCCTCTCTTCTTTACAAGAGCTTTAAATACAACTGAGCCACACACAATTTTTTTTTGCTAAATTTAGAGCTCTGGGTAATCTAACATAGAAATACTGCTGTCCAGATGTTAATCCAGTCGGCATCAGAAAAACACACAAAGATAATATTCTTCACCAGCTGCCAATCTCTTTCTGGGCAGAATTCAAATGTTAGTTATGATTAATAAAGTGCTGTATGACTTTTGTCCAGCTTATTGATAGATGATATCTCCCCAGATGAGCTCTACCTTAGCCCTGATATCTTCAAGAGACAGTTCAA